TGGAAAACATACTCCTAAAGCCACCTTAAAACTGTTAGACAAAATTTTTGGCATAAAGAAAGACTCTTTTCCCTTTACTTATCTTGGTTCTAATATATTCTTGGATAGACCTAAGATTTGTCACTTAGCTTTGATAATATTATTTTTAATGTGGAGCATAAACTGGCTAGCTGGAAAATCAAATATTTGTCTCCAGGTGGTCGCATTACCCTTATTAAATCCGTGCTCACCACTCCCCCCCTTTATCACATGGCTAGTGCTATTATTCCTAAAACTGTTTTACACCCGATTGAGCAAAAGTGCTCTAGATTTTTGTGGTACACTGCTGATTTCGCAAAAAGACAAATCTGGAGGAAGTAGAATAAGATTACCTATCTTGTTAATGAAAATGGTTTTGGCTTCAAGGACCTTTTTACAGTACATAAGTGTTTTTACTTGAAATGTCTATGGAAAGCCACTAATCAAAATGGTCTCTGGGCCTTTGGTTTTCCAAACTTAAAAACCCCAACAATTCTTACATGGGGAAGTTTTGACCAAGGTTACTCATATTTTTTAGAATCTCACTACTTTGGTGGTTTGTAATGGTCATTCCTCTTTTTGGGATTCTAACTGGTCAGATTTTGGCAGGCTTAAAGATTACTTGAACAATGAGGAAACTCTCTACCCTCACATGCCGATTAAGGAAGCCTTTACCCACACCTCTTTCTTGCAGCAGTTACACAATAAGTTTCCTACTTATATTCTTAATATCATCTCGCAAATTAAGCACCATTTTTCTTCTGCTAAAGACACCGCGGTTTGGACCTTAACTCCCGCTGGATCCTGCTCCTTTCAGAATGCCTATGATGAAATCATGCCACAAAATGATTTTCATAATATCATTAATTAGTCACATTTGGAACCGTAATATTCCAACTAAAATATCATTTTTCATGTGAAAGGTTATCAATAACTTGCAACCGTTTCAAGATCAATTATAACTGTTTGGTAGAAACGGCCCTTTAATATGTCCCTTTTGCAACAATTTGACACGAGAGATCATTGTTACATCTCTTGTGATTCCAGAAAAAACCTTTGGACCCATTTTGGTAACCTTTTCAAAATTGTGAACCATAACAACGAGTCTCTCAATTTTGTTTTACACGACTGGTTTACTGCAAAAGATGATTTTTTTAACCTTAACTGCTGGGTTGCTAGGTACATTTGTTGGACCATTTTGGAAAAGAAGAAACAGGTTCATTTATGATGATACTAATATTTTAATTTCTGAGGCTATTGATTGTATCAATAATGAGATCCAGGATGTTAGTAAGATTAATACCTTCATTACAAAATCTGTTAACACCCCCATTCCTGATATTACCATTAATACAGCTAAGATGAAAACCTAGAAGGCTACCATGCGGTTTGCTAGTTGGGATAAACCTCCCAAAAACTCCATCAAGATCAATATTGCCATGGATATTAATAGGGATGGTGACATTGTTACTGGATTGATCATGAGGAATGGTCAGGGCAAACGATACATTTCAGCTCGAATACACATAACCAGTTGGATTGCACCTCCAATTTATGTGATAATATGATCAAAATGAACAATCTGCTTAGAGAAAGCAATTACACTAATGTTATTCTTGAATGTGACAAATTGCAAGTTATACATACCTTGACAGGAATTGAGAGACCAAGCTGGAAAGCGCTAGCTACTTTCAATGCCTTTAAAGAGTTGTTCCACTACGTCAATTTCAAATTCTCTAATATTGAGAAACCTTTTTTGGAAGAACTTATATTAAGAAATCTTGTAATAGGGCAGCATATTTGATTGCGAATAACTCTAATCTTTTTTACAGTAGCCAAATCATTTACAGTAAGTTTATGGGCATTGTGAAGTTTGATGCGATCAATTACCCTTACGTTATGTAATTTGGTAGGTCTTGGCTTTACATCCCCCTACCATGTATTCGTTTTCATTCAATAAACTGGTAAGGTGTTCCCCGACCCTAACCCCACTATATGTGGAATAATATTGGGATTCTAAAAACCCATATATATAAATTATGTCAACTTTAAGAAATTGGGACACAAACTTGAGATGGTAGAGGATTCAAAAAGATCAATCTAATCGAGATCTCTTCACGATAGGATCATTACAACAAAGAAATTTTTAACCATTGTCCCCTATTGATAGATTATGAAACTACTAACTTTACCTAAAAAGAGATAAACCTACCATGTCAATAATCGTGACTATTACGCACATGAAACCTTGTATTTGAAATCATGGGAGGAGAAAGAGTTGTACTAATAATAACATAACATCTTAACTTTGTGTTTGCATCATTTTCCGGGGGGAAACAGATGACATCCCACCCCTGAGGGCTTCCAACACCGGATATACAATTAACTAAAAGGATGTACATTGAACTTTAATTTAATCACATATTGGCAGGAAGTGAGTGAAGTTTTGGCCAAAGTACTTGCAAATGTCCTATGCATTTTAACATAGTAACATCTCATCATAGTTGTCAAAATCCGAACTCAAAACTTACCCCTCGTACCCCCCTTATCTACTAGCTGAGCTACACCATCGGCGCATCATTTTCCGAAGTGTAAAGAATTTCAAGTCATCAAGCAAAAAAATCGAAGTCATGCATGTGCGAAAAGATTGAACTCTTAATCTAAGGCATACTTTTTCCTTGAAAAAAAACATTGAAAAAGGATCAAAATAAAGTTAACCCGTATTAAAAAAAACTTCAAAAAATGTGTCAAAAGAGGCTTTTGACAATTACCCAATTATTATCGTAGAATTCTAGTGTCTACACTTGCACGACAACACTTTACAGTAAAATATACATTTCCTAACTTCCATTAAATGTATTGTTTTGGTAGAATTTGCGTTTATTTGATCCTATTTGAGGAATTTATTTTTTAAAATATAGAAATAAATATTTCTAATAAACAAATTTAATGAAGAATTGTACATGTTTAATTGCATATTTCTTCTTTTTCGGTTTTCAGTAGTTAACTATAAATTATAGATAGTATTTAATTAGAATCAGGAATTATCATGCATGTTATATCTTTTAACATTAAAGATATGAAGCTCTAACTAAGTAACACGAAATAAAGATGCAACACATCAAATTGGCTTAAAATTAAAGGGAGATGTACGAAAGTCTAATCCCAGCATCTTTGCTTCATAGGGGGGTTAAAGACCAATTAAAGGGAATATGTTTATTAATTTGAAAAGTTGGTTTTCTCAATCTAATCCCCGCATTTCGTTGCTCTACGCCGACATGCGGGGGCCGGCCCGAGCGATTTCACAAAAGAGAGGAATGTGGGGAAAAGCCCAATAAAGAGTCTTGCTAGGAGCTATATTATATTTCATGCATATATATTTAATTATATTTATGTATATATGTGGTGGATTTAGCGAGACCCCTCTTAAAATGAAAATTTCTTATAATGATAATTTTTAATCTCATCTTTTCATTTATTGCAATTATTGATTATGACTCAAATGAAGTCATATTAATTTAATCTCATGAATATGATCATACATATTCATACTCCCTCTGTCCCGAAAAGGTTCGTTCGTCAAATTGGTTTTTTTTGTCAATAACAATCAACTTTGACCAATAATTTTTTAATACAAAATTATTTTGAACATGAAAATTATATCAAGATGTTTCTTAATAAAAATATTTTCATAAAAGTTAAAATTTAAAAATTATATAGCAATATAATATTTAAAATCATTGTCCAAATTGATCATTATCGATCAAGGAAAGCTATATGGCAAACTTTTTTTGGGATTGGAGGTAGTATAGAGAAATAGACTTTTACACTTTACTCCAAAAATAAAAACAGACTCTTTCGACGCCGGCCTACAGATGGCATTATAGCGACATAGAAACACTACTACGTACTCTGTACGTATTAATTATATTCCTCGAGTAATTACATTTGTATACATTTGACTGGCATTGAATTGGCACATATAATATGTACTTCGTATATGTAATGAAATAATATTAACCATAATAGAGATAAATAATCTAAAATTTAGATTGTGTGAGGTAGGTACTTTAAACATGCGTATATAGGATATATTGTTGGAGTATTTCAAATGAATTATAAAATACAATTTTAAATTATATGTATTATTATGATAAATATTATTATTATCTTTGTGTCAAATTTTAAACCGTAACTTTCCTTATTACTACTAAAATATTACTTGATATAATTGTTCATTGAGTTCCCTCAAATGATAACGTTAAGCATTTGTTACATTCATTTACGTCGGAAAGTTTTAAAACGTGTATCATTAATATTTATTCAATTCATTGCTTAATAATGAATTTTAAATAATGAGTGTTGGGGAGTTATGAATGTGCTCCATAACGTAACGTTCCTTGTTGGCTTTATTTGATTCAATGTTCATCTTAATTAGTATACAAAACGTTATATGCCTGGACAGCAAGACTTGGTTTCTCGGAATACTAGTATATATATATGGGTTCGGCGAGGAGTTTCTGAGCCAGAAATAGATTATTTTTGAACTAAAACATCCCCTAATATTTTTCACTCTGCAGGATTAATATATTTTCACTCTCGTTGTTCTGTTACCGGCTTACGCCGAAGAGCTCGTTCTATCTTGGGGAAAGGTTTTCACTAGTCGGAAATAGTTTCTTGAGGACAGCGTCTAACGCATCTCGAGCTAGATTATTTTTCTAACACTTTTTGCAGGTTTATCCGGCCAATTTCTCCAACATATATACCCTCCTAAACTTCTATAAAACCATGAACATATGTTATTTTTTTTATAAATGTACTTTTATGAATGATAGTACCATAAAAGTACACCATGATCAACTTAATATGTAAAGTTATCTGAATACTATGTCCATATAGTTTTTATGAAATTTTGAAATTATGACAAACCCAACTCTATACTAAAGCATGGTTCAATTTGTCTCCATCTTTACCCTACAAATTTAGATATCATAGATGCATATGTAAGCAACAAATGTGAAAACAATAACATTGGAGTAAAAAGAGGGAGTAGTTAATTACTATAGAATCATAGATAGGCATATATAGCGCACCATTATATATATACGTAGTACATAGCTATATCTTACCATTCTACAACGTAACGTGCATGATTTAAATGCTATGAATCAATTATTATTACAGGTTATATAGTTTTTTTTAAAGAGTTATAAGTTAGTTAGTTATACAATTTGTACCTTCAAAATGTCATCTATAACCGCTTACACGCCCTTATCCCGTTATTCCTACACCAGAAAAGACTATGTCAAGAACGCTCCGGTGACCACTTGTAGCACCGGCGGCGCTGTTCTCATGCGACGGTTGAAGAAAGAGACGGAGGAGGACGAGAAGAAGAAGGTGGTGGTGATCATGGGAGCGACTGGCTCCGGGAAGTCCCGGCTATCCGTCGACCTCGCCACCCAGTGCTTCCCTGATTCCGTCGAGGTGGTCAACTCCGACAAGATACAATTCTACCGCGGCCTCGACATTACCACCAACAAAATGGCAATGGCCGACCGCCGCGGCATTCCCCACCACCTTCTAGGGGAGCTGGACCCGGGCTCCGACATGTCCGCGTCCGAGTACCGGGCCATGGCGTCCGAGAGAATATCGGACATCATCGCCCGGGACAAGATTCCTTTCGTCGTAGGCGGGTCAAACTCCTACATATACGCTCTCCTAGCAAAACAGTTCAACCCCGAGGTGGACGTGTTCAAGAAAGAAGACCGGTCCCCGTCGCCGGCGAGTGGTCGGTGGGAGCTTCGGTACAACTGCTGCTTCCTCTGGGTGGACGTCTTGCCGGCGGTGTTAAACCGGTACTTGGACAAACGAGTAGACGACATGGTGAGGGCCGGGATGATGGAGGAGCTTGAAGAATGGTTTCAGTCAACGGGAACCCCGGCATCCACCGGCGGGCTGATGAAGGCCATCGGGGTGCCGGAGTTCGCGAGATACGAATCGGGCGGAAGCTTGGAGGCATGCGTTGGTGAAATAAAGGAGAACACAAGGGTCCTGGCGGAGAGGCAGAGGTGGAAGATCCGGCGGTTTGGTCAAGAAGTGGCGGCGGAGGGCGGTTTGAAGATGCATAGGGTTGACGCTACGGCCGCTTTTGCGGCGGCTATGATGATGGGTCCCGCGGGATCAAAATCAGAGTCTACAGAAATCTGGGAAAAGGAGGTTTTGCAGCCAAGCAGAGATATTCTCAAAGACTTCTTGTCGGATGTTATAATATCGTCGGAGAAGCAGAAGCAGTACGCCTTGAGGGAGCACATCATATAAAAATCTAATAGCTGTTCCAATTTTCATGTATTTGCTTCCAAATATATACACACACATATAGATACATTATACATATATGCACACATATATATGAAATCATAGTCTTATATTATGCACGGACAGTTATAGTCTTATACGTAGTAGAAGTCATAGAACCAAGTACATAGGGTACTACACGTATCATATGTTGGAAGGTACATGTACAATTTTGTGTTGACACAATGGCAGTTTGGTAGCCACGTTTTTGAGGTATCTTTATTACGGAGTATAAATCAGAGTATAAGACTTTTTGTTAAAATGCTAGTACTCATTATTCTTTTTTACACTACTTGAGCAGTGGCAGTTTTGTTGATTTTTTCTACCACTTGATGTTTTAATTAGACTCAATTGGTCTTGTTTGATTTAGTCTAAATTGGTTTGATCATTGGCAGTGGCAGTTTAAGTATGATTTGATATGAAAATGATTAAATGGATTTAATTGATTTGATTTAGTAGATGTCTATTTAATGTGTATTTTACAATTGTGAGAATGCTATGTTTAAGTCTGATGTAGTTTTGATTTGACTTGATCTGATGTGGGGATGAAAGTCTGAAAGTAGCCCAATGAAAATTATCCATAGAGGTGTACTGCATACATTTACCTTTTGATTGAAATTAATTAATTGTGAACATTTGTTAGTAATTACGAGAAGTGGTTATACTTATCAAAAGAGACAATCACTTTCTACACCTTCCCAAATGAAGAGGGCCCACACACAACAACTCAATCAAAATAATCATCTTTAAAAGAATGTTCATATAGCTTTTGTTGGTAGACAAAAACTCGGGTGTGGGGAAGTTTTTGGGACAGTATAATTGACATATTTCCCTTCTCATTTGAAGATATAACAAAAAGGTCAAGTAAAAATTGGCCAACAAGAACATTAAAAACAAAGGCCACATTAAGTGTTACAAGATAAGTGATGAAAGAAATTATAATCAATCAAATTTTGTGTGAACTCAAACAGCTATGGTGGGATCGGAATGAAAAAGAATGTGAATGAAAAACCATAATCAAATTGGTAATGATTGGAAAGGCGGAGGGAAGAAAAAGAATGTTTAGCGCATGGATAGTTGCAAATGGATTAAAGACTCCCGCTACGGTCATTAAGGTCTTATTCCATTGTGATAAAGCACCAGCAACCACATTAAAACATCTTGGCTTGTATTTGACCCAGAAATTGTACCCCATAAGGTTGACTAACTAGTGCTGTTGTGGTGAAGATGTGAGGCGCAACTCCAAGAAATGTTTTAAGACCCGGGGTTCCATCCTAAAAGGTCAACCTGATAGGAGGAGTAGCCCAAAGCCTTATATAGTGTGTAATTGTTTTATAGCTTTCCGGTGTGGGACAAATGCTTCAACACGCCCCCTCAGCCCGAACCGGGCTGGACAATATCGGGGTGTATAAACGGGCCAAACAAACCCTTAATAAGCTACCCTTAATCATGGGTGCTAAACAAGCCGTCAAACCACAACCAGAATTGGCTCTGATACCATGTTAAGACCCGAGGTTCCATCCTAAAAGGTCAACCTAATAGGAGGAGTAGCCCAAAGCCTTATATAGTGTGTAATTGTTTCATAGCTTTCTGGTGTGGGACAAATGCTTCAACAGATGTTTAAGTTTGGAATGATTGGTTTAGTGAGAAACTGTATACCTCAAAGATAAGGCCGACAATGGATTACTACCTTTACGATTCCAATTAGTTCGCACTCATAAGCTGCTAGTTTCAAATAACTAGCAACCATCTTTCGGCTGAAATATGCAATAATGAGATGGCCCTCTTGCGGCAAAGACGACGCGAAAACTAGTACTAGATGGATCACACTTCACGAGAAATATAATGCCTTAGTGAGATTTAGAAGTTGTAATACAGGGGCCAATGATAGATGGTGCTTGAGACGCGATCATTGAAATCTATTTCTGCCATAGTTGACCAAACACAACCAAGGCAATGGACTTACCAGGAACTGAAGGACTACTTGGAATCTTTAAAAAATGACATGTTACTGCGCAAAATCTCAAAGATGAGAAGGACCTGATGGGCATGCTCAACCCATCACGACTCACTATTTATTAAAATGTCATCAAAGAATATAAACACAAATTTGCACAAATAGGTCCCAAAGATATATTTCGGGAGGCTTTGGAATGTAGATGGTGCACTGGATAATCTAAAGGGCATCACCGCAAACTCAAGTGGCCATGGTGATTGTGAAAGTAGTTTCTCGACATCGTTGGGAGCCATGCGGAATTGGTGAAAATGCGACCGAAGGTCCAATTTAGTGAAAAAAATTGGCCTCATAGAGTTAATCAATCCCAGGAATAGGAAATTTGTCTTTAACTGTCTTAGCATTCAACTCCTTGTTATCTATGTTAAAATGCCATGTGTCAGCAATTTTTTAACTAATACTACGTAATACGCAGAGAGAATTTGAAGATCGGCTACGCTGGATCATTCCTTGTAGGAACATCTCATAACACTATTTTTTTATTTTGTCCTTCTGGAAGTAGGGATGATGATACGCGTGTACGGCCTAACCACTAGATCAGAACCAGACAATTAGGTAATACGATGATCATTAGCACGCATAGGTGGAAGTCGAGTAGCTTCTCGAAAGAGATCGCCGAAATTTTTCAGCATAGCGTCCATGGAAGGGGTCCCCATATGTGATGTAATAACCATATTTGAGTGAAAGGGAAGAAGTTATTCCCTTGCCATTCTATTGAATGGTCCTCAGCTCCCACCGGAAACACATGGTGAGATGGTTGAAATCCCATAAGGTTGAGCTGAGACCACGTAGCCATTGAACCCCAGAAATCATATCAAAACCTGCTAGTGGAAGATAAAACATTGTTGGCAGGACCAACCATTGGTGCAAGAAGTTATGTGTACTTCTTGAGTCTACCAAGATTGTGATGGATTGGTTGTAGACGCGAGAACGCATTTGCTTAGTAGATGATGATCCACCCCTGAAGACTATAACTATCATAATAGAAAGAATATTTGGATATTTAAGAGATAGGAGATGACTAAACATGATAGCTACAAAAGTGTACATACTAATTTTATTGAAATCAAATATATACACAAAATATATGGAAATATTATGGAGTGATTTTAGGCTCCAATACCATGCGTGATTGGGCATGGCAACCTACACAAGCCCTAATCTAGCCTTATCCACTCATACAACACTATCCAACACTATTATTTATAGGTTGGCACATGAAATAATTTCACCCATATGCATGCTTTAAAAAGGATTCAATGAAGATTTTCTAGTTTTCTCAATGGTCATTTTTGTTATTTTCTTTCCCCTTCTATTTTACAGTTATGATGCATGTGTATTAACATCACTAACATGGAATTTTTATCAACTCGTTATCATGTTTTTGCCTAGTCTATGTCACTTATAAAGATACTTTGATGACTTGTCACATGCCTTACTTAAATGTTTTTTGGACTTTGACTTTTATTGTTCCTTTAAAATGCATTTTGGTGTAGCATTCCCTAATGTTTTTTATTTACATACTCCCTCCGGATCTTTTTAAACTTCACAGTTTGACTTCACATTGATTAAGGAAATAAATTTGACTTTACTGTAGAGTACACTGTTGAGACACTGTTTGACACTGTTTGGCACTGTCGAGACACTGTTTGGTACTGTTTAGCACTGTTTTGATGTAGATTTCTTTGCCAGATAAGGAAATAAGGAAGTGTGAAGTTTATTTTGGACCGTCCCAAAAAGGAAAGTGTGAAGTTTAAAAAGAACCGGAGGGAGTAGTTAATTTCTTCTTAACTTTCAGTGACCCAAATTGCATAATGTGTCAAAAGACACACATGGCACAATCAAATTGTATTGTTGTTTAACAAATCCACGTGCACATAAATTAAGATTCAAAATAACTTCTTCCCCAAAAGTAAAATGATAGTATTGAGAATCTTTACACATGTGGGTTTGACTAGTCGGATATGTGCCTTTTAATTTTGACATGTTGTGGTTGTTTCACGTTGTGAGAAGATTACCCTATACCTTACTCGAGATAAATAATTGATTTTATTATGATCAAATAACACATGATCAAAGAAAGCTACATTATATGTAGTGTGCTCTAACTTATGTTCTTGTACTGTAAAAAAACTTATGCTCTTGTTATTTAATGTTTTCAATTACATAATAACTTATGGTCTTGTACCGTAAAAAAAAAACTTATGCTCTTGTTTTTTAACGTTTTCAATTTTATTGATGCCTTTCAATTCAAACTTATCTTACAGTTGGGACCTCATTGTTGTGTCATCGATGTAAACTTTTCAGTACTTGTAGGCTTATGGCATTTATTGTGTAACAAGTTAATTGTAATGATATGATAGTAAGATGCTCCAATTCCATTAAAAATATATTGCAAACATATCATGTTCCATTCTAGCTTACATTGATACTGAATGATGTTATCCATCCTAATTCAAACTTCAAGTCAAGAGTTTTATAGCGTCACCACCATTTTATAAGATTGTTTAAGATTTCTCCAATTTTCCATTAAATTACATATATCCTTGATATTTCTTGTTTTCACCCACAAACTTGATTAACATTGTCCTTAATTACTAGTCAAACCATGTATATGGATTGTGTCAACTAAGAAAGTGTGACACAAACATGAGATGGTAGAGGATTCAAAAAGATTACTCTAATCGAGATCTCTTCATGATAGCATCATTACGACCAAGAAATTTTTACCATTGTCCCTATCGATAGATTATAAAACTACTAACTTTACCTAAATAGAGTTGTACTAATAATAACATAACGTGACTATTACGCACATGAAACCTTGTATTGAAATCATCGGAGGAAAAAGATTTTGTACTAATAATAACATAACATCTTAACTTTGTGTTTGCGTCATTTTCCGGGGAAAAAGGGTGACACCCCATCCCTGAGGTCTGACCCCAAACACCGGCCGGCTATACAGTTAATTAGGAGGATTTAAATTGGACTTTAATCACACATTGGCAAGTGGTGAGTAAAGCTTTGGCCAAAGTACTTGTAAAGGTCGTATGCATTTTTAATTATAGTAAATGCTCATCGCAATTCCTAGAATTTGAACCCGAAACTTACCCCTCAGGCACCTCTATATACTAGCTGAGCTACGCCCATTGCTGCATCATTTTTCGAGG